CCCACAGGAAGGGTGGTGGGGATGGGGATGAGCATGATTCGAAGATAATTGGGATAGGGATGGTGATGGGGACAGGGCAGGGATGGGGACAGGAGTGACCAGGGCATGGGCATGGGCATGATGATGGGGACAGGGATGATGATGGGGACAGGGATGATGATGGGGACAGGGATGATGATGGGGACAGGGATGATGATGGGGACAGGGATGATGATGGGGACAGGGATGATGATGGGGACAGGGATGATGATGGGGACAGGGGTGATGATGGGGACAGGGATGATGATGGGGACAGGGATGATGATGGGGACAGGGATGATGATGGGGACAGGGCTCCATCACGGCCCTGGGGACACTGAGCCGTGCCCGGCCGCAGCCCCGGGTGCTGCGCCTCCCCCGGGATGCGCTACAACTCCTCCAGCTCCTTCCCGGATGAGATCCTCAACTTCGTCAAGACGCATCCTCTGATGGACGAGGCGGTGCCGGCGCTGGGCAACGCACCCTGGATCCTGCGCACCATGAGCCGGTGGGTGCTGCGTGCTGGAGGTGCTGGAGGGTGCTGGAGGGTGCTAAGGGGTGCTAAGGGGTGCTGCTGGGTGCTGCTGGAGCCACACACATGTCAGCATCAGGAGACCAGCTAAATCCCATGAGCTTTGCAGTCGAGATTGTCTCATCCTAATGAAACCTGCCTTAATTCCTGCTGATGGGAATGGATCCAGTCACTGCTTCCAGCAAGGGCTGGGACAAGGATATGGGGCTGGGGACAGGGATGTGGGGATGAGAACCAGGACACAGGGCTGGGTTTGGGAACCAGTTGTGGTCCTGCTGATGGATCAGGGGCATCTGGGCTGGTTCCTTAGTGGGATCTGAGCAGGATCCCAGTTGGAATCTGGATTTATGCAGGTGGGACGTGGTCAGGATCCTGAGTGGGATTTGGGGTGGGTCATGGGTGGGAACCAGGATGGGTCTGACTGGTTCTTGGACAGGATGTGGAGTAGTTTCCATTTGGGATCTGCGCGCCCCATCCCGCTCCTTCGGGCCGCCCTGCCTCAGTTTCCCCTCCCCACGCTGACATCAGCTCCATTCACACCACGCAGGTACCAGCTCCGCAAGATCGTGGTGGACACCGCGGCGGGGCCGTGGGGCAACCACACCGTGGTGTTCCTGGGCGCCAGCACCGGCACCGTCCTCAAGTTCCTCATCCAGCCCAACGCCAGCTCCAGCCCCGCGCCCGCCATCCCCGGCAGCCAGAGCATCTTCCTGGAGGAGTTTGAGACCTACCAGCCTGGGAGGTGGGTGCAGGAGGTGGACACAGGGGGATGGATGGAGGGATGATGGATGGGTGGAGGGATGGAGGGATGGATAGAAGGGTGGACAGATGGGTGAATGGATGGATGGATGGAGGGAGGGAGCAAGAGAGGGACGGGTGGATGGATGGATGGATGGGTGGATGGATTGGTGGATGGAGAGATGGAGGGAGGGGTGGATGGATGGATGCATGATGGATGGAGGGATGGATGGATGGATGGATGGATGGATGGATGGAGGGATGGGTGGATGGATGGATGGATGGATGGTGGATGGATGGATGAAGGGATGGGTGGATGGATGGATGGATGGAGGGATGGGTAGATGGATGGATGATGGATGGATGGATGGATTGGTGGATGGGTGGATGGGTGGATGGATGCGTGGATGGATGAATGGATGGAGGGATGGAGGGGGGGTGAATGGATGGGTGGAGGGATGGCTGCATGATGGATGGGTGGATGGATGGATGGAGGGATGGATGCATGATGGATGGGTGGATGATGAATGGATGGATGTAAGGAAGAGATGGGTCAGAGGGGTGCAAGGGGTTTGTGGGTCAAAGCAGGGGTGCGTGAGATGCCCCCCTCTGGCCCAGCCTCTGGGGCGCAGCAGGACCGGGGCCACGCTCAGCTCTGTCCCCAGGTGTGGCCAGGACACGGCGGACGAGCGGCGGCTGCTGGGGCTGGAGCTGGACAAGGCAGCGGGGTCCCTGCTCTTGGCCTTCCCCCCCTGCGTGGCCAGGGTGCCGGTGGCGCGGTGCCAGCAGCACTCGGGCTGCATGAAGTGAGCGTCCCGGGGGGCAGGGATCCATGGGGGGGGGCATGGGAGGAGCTGGGGGGTCACATTCCAGTGCTGGGATCTGCCTGGGAATGGCTCAGCACGGCTGGAAGCACCCACAGGGGAAACTGAGGCACGGTGCAGGGCCAGGGTCCTGCGTGGGGGCCGGGGGCTTGTCCTCCTCATGGGGGGGATCCTGACTTCCCTGCTTCCTGCCAGGAACTGCCTCGGGAGCCAGGATCCCTACTGTGGGTGGACACCGGAGGGCTCCTGCATCTTCCTGGAGCCCAGCCCCAGGTAACGCTGCCGGGCCCATGGTGGGGGGGACGCTGGGGGAAGTGGTGTGGGGAGGCATCAGGATCGCCTGCACCCCTCTACTGCTGAGACCCAGCCAGTTCACCCCTGGCTGAAGCAAGCTGGGACCCCCTCACCCATTAGGGGCCAGCTGACACCTCCCCCCCTCAATGTCCCCCCCAGGGTGGCCTTCGAGCAGGACATCACCGGCGGCAGCACTTCCCATCTGGGCGAGTGCGAGGGTGAGTGCATGAGGGACGGGCACGGGGCCGTGGTGACACCACCGGACCCCCACCACGACCGTGCCCTGATTGTGTCCCCCCATTCCCTCCCCCAGGGCTGGTGACCGAGAGCTTCGTGGACGAGCCGGACGGGCTGGTGTCGGTGAACCTCTTGGTGATCTCCTCCGTGGCCGCCTTCGTCATCGGCGCCGTCATCTCCGGCTTCAGCGTGTGCTGGTTCATCGGGCACCGGGACCGCAAGGAGCTGGCGCGGCGCAAGGACAAGGAGACGATCCTGGCGCACAGCGAGTCCGTGGTGAGCGTCAGCCGCTTGGGCGAGCGCCGGGCGCGCAGCGGCCAACCCGGAGCCCTGCTGGCCCCGCTCATGCCCAACGGGTGGCCCAAGGACTTGGGGAAGGTCGCCCAGCACGACCTGGACTCGGGGGTGCTGCCCACGCCGGAGCAGACCCCGCTGCAGCAGAAGCGCTGCCCCGGAGCGCTCCAGAACTGCACCTGGGAGCAGAGTCACAACATCATCAACGCCGCGCTGCGGGACCCCGGCGGATCCGCTACCACCGGCGCCGGGCGGCTCCACGCCGGCTCCGCCCGCCCGCCCCGCGGCATCCCCCTCTCCTGCCACGCCATCCTGGTGGACCAGGAGCTGGAGGCCGAACTCAGCGACTCCTCGGGGGATGGACATTGGGGTCGGGAGGCTCAAGAGGGGCCCCGCACCCGGCAGCACCCCCCCGCCGGCCCCCGCCGTGCCCCCCGCAGCTCCTACGGTGACTTCCCCGGCACACCGCACCCCAGCCCCGAGCGCCGCAGGGTGGTTTCGGCACCCGGCGGGGAAGGGGGTGACTTTACCAAGGGGCCGCCGTGGCACCCTGACCAGCTGAACTTCAACGCCAACAACGGCACGGGCCGCGCCGGCGCCCACCTCAAGAGGAACCACACGTTCAACAGCGGCGAGGGCGCCTACGGGAGACACGGGACAGGGGCTCGGGCCGCCGGCACCGGGCCCCCGCGGGCGCTGACGGACCTGCAGCACCTCCTGCGCTACGGCGTGGAGCGGACTCCCTCGGGGAAATAGGGTCCTAGCGTGTGTGTGTGTGTGTGAGTGTCCCCCCGCGCCCCCCGGGACAAGGAGGGGTGGCCAGGGCAGAGCTGCGGGCAGGGGGTGAGATGCTGCATGGGTGGGGGGGGACACAGGCACCCCCTGGGTAGGGTTTGGGGGTGTCCCCGGCTGGCAGTGGGGCAGTGCCCCACGCTCCGGCTGCTTTGCCCTGGGTCCCGGGGGGGTCCGTCCATCCCGTCCCCTCCCCAGGCTGGACCCAGGGATGCGGCACCCTGGGAGGGGGATCCCTGGGGGGCAGCAGGATGGACACGGACACAGCCGAGGAAAGAGTGGGGCTGTGCCCCTCGCCCTGCAGCCCCTCGGCTCCATCAGCTGCACCCAGGCACCCCAAGAAGGGGGCTTAGGGGTGCTGCCGGCACCCTGGGGACACCCGGCCCGGGGGTGCGGTGGTTGTGGTGATGGGACACGGTGAACTTGTGAGGTGCAGTGGGGCGGGGGAGCCCCCAGATGTGTGATATCTGCGGATGGGGCACACTCACACCCCTAACCTGGGGTCAGCCCCTGCCCAGAGCCAGTCTGGGGGAGACCTCATCCATCAACCCCTCCTGGAGAGCACAGCCGGGGGGTGGGGGCACCGCTGGGGCTGGGGGGTCCCCACCGAACCCACTCTCTGCTGGCAAAGGGGCCCTTTTGGTGCCACACTGGGTTGGCGGGTCCCGGGGGGGGGGTGGCAGGTCCCCGGGGGGGTGGCAGGCTGTAAATAGGGTGGGGGGCGGCGGGCGCCCCCCTCCCCCCCCGCGGCCATGCATGCGGCCGCCCGCGGTCTGTACCCCGCGGCCCCAATAAACGCCCGTTTACCGGAGGCAACTCCCCCCCCCGCTGCCGCCTCGGAACCGTCTGATCCCCCCCCCCCCCGGGAGCTCCCCCCGGCTTCGGAGGGGCAGCACCGGTCTTGGGGGGGGGGGGGCTGCTGTGGGATGGGGGAAAGGGTTGGAGGGGGACAATGGGGACAAAGCCCCTGAACCACACTTACCCCCTCCACACCATGCACCCCGTTGCCGTGGCAACACCCCCAGCACCCCCAAATCCACCCCCAGCCCCTCTCCCAGGCAACGAGTTCCTCAGTGCTCAGCCTGCAGCAGCCACCAGCCATGGACCATGCCACGGACCCACTCATGGGGCTTGGCCATGGGGCTCCCCAGCACCCATCCCATGCTGTGCCTGTTTCACCCATGTGGGTGTGCAGCACCGTGGTGTGATGGGTGCTGGGGTCCCTGGGAGCCCTGAGGGTATAAGAAGGGGGTGGCAGTGCTGCAAGAGCCATGGGGCTCAGTGGGGCCACGGGGATGCCACTGCCCTGTCCCTGCCCCGGATGCCAGCACCCTGCGGGCTGGCAGCGAAGGAAGCGATTTCCCAACCGGTACCAGGATCCCCCCCGGTCACAGCCACCGGGGAGACCGGACGGTCCCCAGGGAGCTCCTCCGGATGGCTGGGAAGGTGAGGGTCGGGCTGGGGGTCTGGGCGTGGGGTCCAGGCTGGGGACATGGGGCTGGGGGCCCCTTCCTGCCCGCGCTGTGGGGTGAGGTGGCAGCGGCAGCGCTCGCACAGCCCCGGCTGACGCTGTCCTCTGCCCGCAGCGCGGCACCGCGGCGGCACCGGCCCGGATCCTGCTGCTGGCGCTGGCTCTGCTGCCGCCGGGCCCCGCCGCGCCCTGCTCCCCGCAGCCCAACGCCACCCGGTTCGTGTGCACCGAGCCCGCGCTGCGCTCCTTCCCCGCGGGGCTGCCCCGCACCACGCTCGCCATCTCCGTGGAGTTCACGGCGCTCGCCGCGCTCCCGCCCGCCGCGCTGCTGCCGGTGCCGCGCCTGCAGGAGCTGCACCTCTCCTCCAACCGCCTGGGCTCGCTGCCCGCGGCCCTGCTGCGCCCCGTGCCCGCCCTGCGCCTCCTGGACCTGACCAACAACCTCCTGCGGGACCTCCCCGCCGGCACCTTCAGCAGCAGCCGCCGCCTCCAGCACCTGGTGCTGCGCGGGAACCGGCTGCGGGCGCTGCGCCCCGCATGGTTCCAGCACCTTCCCCGCTTGCTCTGGCTCGACCTGGGCTCCAACGCGCTGCCGGAGCTGCCGCCGGGGGCTTTCCGCCCGCTGCGCTCCCTGCGGAGCCTGGATCTGTCCCGCAACCTCCTCGCGGCGCTGCCGCCGGGGGCGCTGGCGGGGCTGGGGGCTCTGGAGCGGCTCGACCTGGAGGGGAACCGGCTGCTGACGCTGCCCCCCGCAGCCTTCGAGCCCGCGCCCGCCCTGCGCCTCCTGTTCCTGCAGGAGAACGAGCTCCGGGAGCTGCCCCCCCGCATCTTCCTCCCCCTGCGCCAGCTCCGTGTCCTCGACCTGGCGCGGAACCGGCTGCGGGAGCTGGAGCTGCCCCCCCCCGGCCCCGGCCCCGCGCTGGAGCTGGACCTTGCGGGCAACCCCTGGCACTGCGGGTGCGCGCTGCGGGAGCTGCTGCTGAGCGCGGCCCCGCTGCTCAGCGCCGCCGCTGACACCCGCTGCGCCAGCCCCGCGCACCGCCGGGGGCAGGAGGTGGCTGCGCTGAGCGGGGCCGGGGGCTGCGAGCACAGCGGGGCCGGGCAGCAGCCGCCGGGCCCGTAGGTGAGGGCCTTGGTGGCACCGCAGGGACTCGGGGGCGCCACCTCCCTCCCCGCTGCTTTGTCCCCAGCCCAAAGGAGCTCTCCTGGGGAAACTGAGGCAGGGAGCGCCGGGCTGCAGCTGTGCCCTGTCCCTGTCCCAGTGCCCCTCAGCCCCACCGTGGCTCAGGCTGCCCCACGTCCCTGTCCCCATCCTGCGTGGGTCACATCCCTGTCCCCACTGCTCAGAAGCACATTAAATGCCATCACTTGGAGCCACTGCGCTTTCTCCTGTGTTTCATCCTATGCACCCCCAGTGACGGGCACCACATCCCCCAGCCCTGCCTGTCCCCTTCTCTCCGTGTCCCCTGCCTGTTCCTGTCCCCATCCAGGCACCGTTCTCCCCCCGGGGATCACCCAGCACGCCCAGGCACTGCTGTCCCCTGCCCTGAGCACCCACAGGGACCAGGGCAGACCTGAGCGGCTCTGCTTGGCATGGGGACACCGGGCTTGGAGACGTTGGCATGGGGATGTTTGGCATGGGGACACCTGGCTTGGGGACATTGGCATGGGGATGTTTGGCATGGGGACACCGGGTGCTGGGTCACTTGGTGTGGGGACACCTGGGGGGGGTGGAGACACTTGGCATGGAGATGCTTGGCAAGGGGACAGCGGGCATGGGGAGGCACTCAAGGGGACGCTTGGCATGGGGGGAGTTGGCATGGGGACGCCTGGCATGGGGACACTGGGCACTTGCCCCTGGCCACCTCCCCGGGACGGGGTGACCCCGTCGTGTCCCCCCCCCGTGTTCCCTGCCGTGTCCCCGCCATGCCCCCGTGCCCCCACCGTGACTCCCCCGTGTCCCCCCCCCCGTGTTCCCTGCCGTGTCCCCGCCATGCCCCCGTGCCCCCACCGTGACTCCCCCGTGCCCCCCATGTCCCCTCCCCGTGTCTCCCCCATGCTTCCCCCTGCCCCCCCCCTTGTGTCCCCCCTTTTCTCCCCCCCCTTTTCTTCCCCTTAGGTCCGGGCCCGGATCGTGCCTCGCGCACGTGGCGACCACCCCCCAACTCCCGCCCCCTGGTCCCGCCCCTCCATCCTAATTGGTGGAGACGAGCCCCTCCCCTTCTCTGATTGGCTCCCGCCGCTGACTGGGAATCCGGTCCTGGGCGGGAGTCGGGAATCGCGACCGGGAATCGCGACCGGCCCCGCGCCCCCAGGGTGAGAGCGCGCCGGGACTTGGAGGTACTCGGAGGGGGAAGCGGGGCCGGGGCGGGGGGGGAGCTCCGGGCGTGCCCGGGGGGGTTCGGGTGTTTCCGGGCCCGGGGGTCTGCGGGGGTGGGGGGGGGCAGAGCCTGTGCGGCCGCAGGGGCTGGGGAATGGGGTCCCCGGTGCCCCCCTCGGTGATGGAGCCGGGGAACAGGGAGCAGGAGACCCCGCAGAGCTCAGAGATGCTGCGGGGGGGGCGCTGGGGGGAGCCACCGGTTGCTGCGCTCCCTGCATCGGGTCCCGGGGCTGCCCCGGCCGAGGCGGCGGTGACCGGAGGCACGTCCACGCTCGGGGCTTGCGAAAGGAGGACCCAGCCCCGCTTCCGGCTGAGTCACCCGAAAACCCCTCCCCGGCCCCAAACCCGGCTGGGGAAACCCCTCCTGGTAGGGCAGGGGCCCAGCCCCATCCCCAAACCCTTCCAGCTCCCCCAGGACACCCCATTGGGTAGCTCCGAGGCCTTTCCCTCGTGTCATGGGGTCGATGGGTCTCAGCCCTCTGAGCAGTAAGGGTTGGCTGGGGGGACATGGAGGGACTCAGCCCCACGGTGTGCTGCTTCCCTTGGCTCTGGGGCTGGGGTCCCCACTGGGCTCAGCCCCCCCATCGCACCCATGATCTTGCTCTTCCCCCCACTGCAGCCACCGCTGCCATGTCATCCGACGGCTCCGTGCCACGCGAGGATGGGCAGGAGCTGAAGGTAGGGGCGCAAGGAGCGCTGAGGGGGGGCTGCGGGTACCAGCGATGCCCCCAGCTCACCCCCAGCACCCCCGGCAGAGCGTGGTGAGCCGGGTGGCCAGCCTGGCCCTGGTGAGCTGCGCCTGCGGTGCCGTGTCCACGGCGTACAGCTCCACCAAGGAGAGCCACCCCTACGTGCGCTCCGTCTGCGATGCTGCTGAGAAGGGGGTGAAGACACTGACGGCGGCGGCGGTCAGTGGGGCACAGCCCATCCTCAGCAAGCTGGAGCCGCAGCGTGAGTGGGGCTGGGGGGGGGACAGGACCCCAAAAGTGGCCCCTGCAGAGCCCTGGAAAGGCAGCAGGGGAGGAATAACGTGGTTCCGTGTCTCTAGATCGCCATAAACATGGATGTAAAGGGCTGGAAGAGGTAGAGGAGAAGGCGGGGAGGGGAGGGGGGGCAAACACAAGTTTTGGGGTGCCCCGGAAACTGTCCCTATAGCAGCACTCTGGAGGGGCAGCAGGGCAGGGAGAAGCTGGGTTCTTATCTGTAGTTTCCACCTCTAATGAACACCAAAGGCTGGAGAAGGCTGGGGGGGACAGGGCTGTCCCTATCAGCGCTCCCGCACTCAGCGGGTGCTCAACCCGGCTGTGCTCCCGTCTCCAGTGTCCACCGCCAACGAGTACGCCTGCAAGGGGCTGGACAAGCTGGAGGAGAAGCTGCCCATCCTGCAGCAGCCCCCGCAGCGGGTAACGTCCCCCCTGGGTGAGGCGGGGGGGTCCGGCGCTGGGCTCGGGGCTGGCGCGTGGCGTCCCTGTGCTGTCCCCTCCCAGGTGGCGGCAGGGACGCGGGCGCTGCTGTCCTGCACCGTGGGCCTGGCGCGTGGCGCGGTGCAGGGCGGCGTGGCCAGGACGTGCTCGGCGCTCAGCACCATGGCGGGGTCCCGCGTGGGCCAGATCCTGGCCTCGGGGGTGGACACGATGCTGGGCAAGTCGGAGGAGCTGGTGGAGCGGTTCCTGCCCGGGACGGATGAGGAGCTGGGTGAGTGTGAGCAGGGCTCTGAGCCATGGCCTCGATCCAGGGGTGCTGGAGCCCCCCCACTGCTCAGCACCACCCCGGCACCGCTTGCACCCAGTGGTCCCTCTGCAGTGCTGAGCCCCATGGGATGCCCGTGGCCACGGCACAGGGGATGATTCCCACCACTGGGAATGCTGAGGTGGGGAGACAGCGCTGCACAGGGTGACCTCTCACCTGGAAACCAGAAAGCAAATATAGCCCCATGCCGGGTATTTATAGCTTGGCACGGGGCAGGGGTGGGCAGAGCTGGCCCCGTGTCATGGCAGAGGTGACCGGAGGCACCGCCTGGCTCCTGGTGGCACCTCCACTTGGACCCGGTGGCCGAGCATCTTGGGGTGGCACCTCCATGGGGCGCAGAGCTCCAGGGATGCTCCCGTGTTGGGCTCTTTGGTCCAGACAGCACTGGGGGAGCGGTTGGACCGGATCCTGCTCAAGCTCTTTTCCACCCCGGTTTATGCTGTGGCTCCCTGTGGGTCTCACCCCCTTGTCCCTGCAGCGGCGGCGGCGGCAGGAGCAGAGGTGGCAGCGCTGGGGCAGCAGAGGCGGTGGCAGAGCTGCTTTGTCCGTGTGGGCTCGCTCTCGGCCAAGCTGCGGCACCGGGCGCTGCGGCGCTCGCTGGGGGAGCTGCAGCGGGCCCGGCACAGGGCCCAGCACGTCCTGGCCCAGCTCCACCGCGCCTTCGAGCTGGTAAGGATGCGGTGGGCACCGTGGCAGCATCAGGGGGTGCCGGTACCCCCTGCGGTGCTCCCACCCCGCTGCCCCCTCCCGCAGATCGAGCAGATGCGGCAGGGCATGGACGGGCCCCTGTACGGCACCCGGCAGCGCCTGCACCGCATGTGGCTGGAGTGGAGCCAGCAGGAGGCTGTGCCCATGGAGGAGAGCGAGGTACGGGGCTGGGTACCCGCGGGGGACACTGAGGGGTTGGGGGGGGGCACGCCCATGGGAAGTCAACAGCATAGGGCTGGGGTATCCATAGATGGCATCGAGGTGTGAGGGCCTGCGGCCATGGTGGAGACCGTGTATGAGTTGGGGTACCATAAAACACATGGAGGTGCAGGGTGGTGGGCCATGGCCATGGAAGGCAGTGAGATCTGGGGCTGGGGTCTGTGTGCATGGAAGGCAATGGGATATGGGGCTGGGGTCTGTGTGCATGGAAGGCAATGAGATCTGGGGCTGGGGTCTGTGTGCATGGAAGGCAGTGAGATCTGGGGTTGGGGTCTGTGTGCATGGAAGGCAATGAGATCCGGGGCTGGGGTCTGTGTGCATGGAAGGCAATGGGATCCGGGGCTGGGGTCTGTGTGCATGGAAGGCAATGGGATCTGGGGTTGGGGTCTGTGTGCATGGAAGGCAATGGGATCTGGGGTTGGGGTCTGTGTGCATGGAAGGCAATGGGATCTGGGGTTGGGGTCTGTGTGCATGGAAGGCAATGGGATCCGGGGCTGGGGTCTGTGTGCATGGAAGGCAATGGGATCCAGGCTGGGGTCTGTGTGCATGGAAGGCAATGGGATCTGGGGTTGGGGTCTGTGTGCATGGAAGGCAATGGGATCTGGGGTTGGGGTCTGTGTGCATGGAAGGCAATGAGATCCGGTGCTGGGCTCTGTGTGCATGGAAGGCAGTGAGATCTGGGGCTGGGGTCCATGCCTGCGGAGGACCCCATGGCCCAGGGGTGCCCCCGCTGCCCGCAGGTGGAGGCGCGGACCCTGGCCATGCTGCGGGGGCTCCTGCACCAGCTCCACGCCGCCTGCACCCGCCTGGCCGCCGGCATCCGGGGCCTGCCCGGCAGCGTGCAGGAGACAGCGGGGCACGTCCGGCACAGCGTGGAGGGGGTCCAAGCGTCCCTGTCCCGCGCCTGCTCCCTCCATGACCTCTCGGAGCTGGTGGTGGCGCAGGGCAGGGAGACGGTGCTGCGGGCGCAGCTGAGCATCGACGAGATGCTGGAGCACGTGGGCGAGCACGCGCCCCTGCCCTGGCTCGTGGGGCCCTTCGCCCCTGCCCTGGTCGAGTACCCGGAGGATGCCCCCTTGGAGATGGGCAAGTGGGAGGGCTGTGACACGGTGGAGGGGACGCACCACATCCACAGCGCCCCACGGCTCAACCAGCGCTGAGCCCCCGGCACCTCAACCTGGGGCAGCACCCACGGCAGCGAACCCCATCCCCGCTGGGGACGAGGCGGTGTGGACGCAGTGACGGGCGTGGGACCGGGGATGCCGCACATGGGGACTCGTGAGGGGATGGCGGCACCCGGAGGAAGCAGCGTGTGCGGTGTCCCGGAGCACGGGGAGCATCCGGATGTCTTCTCTTAGCGGCTTCAACGCACTTTAAAGAAGTAAAACAACTTTTTAGGCCTTAAAGTGTTTCGCAACCCCTTGTGGTGGCGACAGCACCGCGCCGGGGGGCTCAGCACGGGCGGCAGAGATGGGGCTGTGGGATGGGCGCTGCACGGAGGGTGCTGGTGCTGTTGGACTGTGACCCGCGGCCGTGTGGCACCGAACTTTGCCCCGTTGTCACCGCGGCGGGGCTGGGCTCTGGGTCTCCCTCACACCGGGGAGCAGCGCGGCCGCAGGACCCACGGGGCCCCGGGACTGCCCCGTCCGGCTGCCACCGGCACCGCCCTGAACGGGGACAGGTCGGGGCGGGGGGGGCACTGGGATGCTCCCGATGGGAGGGGGGTTTGGAGGGGCCGGTGCAGCCGGGATGGGGAGATCCCGTCCTTGGGGGGGGTCAGCGCAGCCCCGGCCCTGGGACGCGGCCCCGGAGGGATGCGGTCGGGGGGGATCCGGTTCTTGGAGGGGGGGGTTCGGCGCATCCCGGACCGGGGAACCGGATTCTGCGGCGCCGGCCCCGGTCGGGGTCGCTGCAGCCCCGGGCCCCGCCGCTGCCCGCGGGTCGGGGCTCCCGGACCGCCCCGGGCCGGCCCCGCGGGGCGGGTACCGGTCACGTTGCTCGGGGCAGGGCCCCGCGCTATAAAGGTCGGAGGGGAGGGAGGGGGCGAGCTTAGAGCGGAGCTGCCGGAGGTGAGAGCGGTCCCGGCCCGAGGGGGATGCCCCGGCTGGGGGGGGGTAACGCTGGGTCCGGTAACGCTGGGTCCGGTAACGCTGGGTCCGGTAACGCTGGGTCCCCGTCTCACGGTTCCTGTTCCCCTTCCCCAGCCCCGCCATGGCCGCCAGCGAGCCCGGGACGGCGCAGCCCAAGGCTGAGGAGGCGCAGGTCAGTGCGGAGGAGGGGGGGTCCCTGCCTGGGGACAGCGCTCCGGGGCACCGGAGTACCCCAAAGGCATCCTCGGGGCGTTGGGGGTCCCTTATTCCCTGTGCGATTTGGGGCTCTATCGTTACCCCCCTGTCCCCGTCCTTCCGGTGCCCGCAGAGCATCGGGTCGCGGGTGGCCAGCCTGCCGCTGGTGAGCTCGGCCTATGGGATGGTGTCCACGGCGTACAGCTCCACCAAGGAGAGCCACCCCTACGTGCGCTCCGTCTGCGATGCTGCCGAGAAGGGGGTGAAGACGCTGACGGCGGCGGCGGTCAGTGGGGCACAGCCCATCCTCAGCAAGCTGGAGCCGCAGCGTGAGTGGGGCTGGGGGGGGACAGGACCCCAGAAGTGGCCCCTGCAGAGCCCTGGAAAGGCAGCAGGGGAGGAATAACGTGGTTCCGTGTCTCTAGATCGCCATAAACATGGACGTAAAGGGCTGGAGGAGGTAGAGGAGAAGGCGGGGAGGGGAGGGGGGCAGCACCCCACAAGTTTTGGGGTGCCCCGGAAACTGTCCCTATAGCAGCACTCTGGAGGGGCAGCAGGGCAGGGAAAAGCTGGGTTCTTATCTGTAGTTTCCACCTCTAATGAACACCAAAGGCTGGAGAAGGCTGGGGGGGGACAGGGCTGTCCCTATCAGCGCTCCCGCACTCAGCGGGTGCTCAACCCGGCTGTGCTCCCGTCTCCAGTGTCCACCGCCAACGAGTACGCCTGCAAGGGGCTGGACAAGCTGGAGGAGAAGCTGCCCATCCTGCAGCAGCCCCCGGAGAAGGTACCGTGCGGGGTGGGCTCAGTGTGTGCGCCCCTCCCCGAACGGCTTACAGAGGGTTGTGTGTGTGCCCCCAGCTCATCTCGGACACCAAGCAGCTGGTGACCTCCACGGTGACAGGGGCCAAGGATGTGCTGAGCAGCACCATGGCCGGGGCCAAGGACGCGGTGGCCAGCCGGGTGACGGGAGTGATGGACATGACCAAAGGGGCCGTGCAGGGCAGCGTGGAGCTCACCAAGTCCGCGGTGAGCAGCGGCGTCAGCACCGTCATGGGCTCCACCGTGGGGCAGATGGTGGTGAGCGGGGTGGGCTCCGTGCTGGAGAAGTCGGAGGAGCTGGTGGACCATTACCTGCCCATGACGGATGAGGAGCTGGGTAAGGAGCTCACCCCCCCGAGGATGCCCTGTGGGTAGGGGCTGAGCAGGGCCCTTGGCTCCACGTGGGGATGCGGCTTCTGTCCCGCAGCCAAGCTGGCCACGGCCGTGGAGGGCTTCGAGCCAGAGCAGCAGAGGCAGCAGCAGAGCTACTTCGTGCGCTTGGGCTCGCTCTCGACCAAGCTGCGGCACCGGGCGCTGCAGCACTCCCTGGGCAAGCTGCAGAGCGCCCGCCGCAGCAGCCAGGAGGTGCTGGCCCAGCTCCAGGGCACCCTCGACCTGGTAGGACCCATCCCCATGTGTACCCCCCCCCTGCTTTGTGCCCGCAGCAGCGCCTCCACCGCAGGCTCTGCTCTCCCCGCAGGTGGAGCACCTCAAGCAGGGCATGGACCAGAAGCTGCAGGGGGGGCAGGAGAAGCTGCAGCAGCTGTGGCTGGAGTGGAGCAAGAAGCAGCCGGGCAGTGGCAAGGAGCTGGTGCCACCGGAGGTAGGTGGAGGATGGGGTGGGGGGGTCCCCTATGGGGTCCCCATCCCTCACGGTGCCGTTGTCCCCGCAGGCGGTGGAGTCGCGCGCGCTGGCCCTGCTGCAGGGCTTGACCCAGCAGCTGCAGAGCTCCTGCCAGCCCCTGCTCTCCAGCCTGCAGGGGCTCCCCGGCAGCCTGCAGGACACGGGGGCGCAGGTCCTGCACAGCGTGGAGGGGCTGCGGGCGGCGCTGGGCTCCGCGGCCTCCCTGCAGGAGGTGACGGGCACGGTGCTGGCCCAGGCTCGGGCCAACGCCAGCCGCGCGCGGCAGCTCATGGACGAGCTGGTGGAGCACGTGGCCCGGAACCCCCCCTTGACGTGGCTGGTGGGACCCTTCGCCCCCTCGGCCCAGAACGTGCTGGAGCTGGAGGTGAAGTAGCGGCGCCTGCTGCACCCACCGGGGTGCTCGGTCCAGCCCTGCCCAGCCGCAGGAGAGCATCCGTGCCCCCTGCCTGCCCCACATTGCCCAGAGCCTTCCTGCCTGCCCGTGCTGGCGCTGCAGTTTGTGCCCCCAAGTGCCTTTGGGGTGACCTCCAGCCCCTGGTTGGAGCCCCCCCCCCCCTTGTCCCCTCGGTGCCTTCAGCCCTCCCTGGTCTGTGCAGTAAACTCTGGTTTTGCATGAGCCCGAGTTGTGGTTTTGGGGGGGTTGGGGGGACATTGGGGTCCCCACGGCTCCATCGACCCATGGGGGGACACCAACGGAATGACCTTGGATCTGCCTTGAAGTCATGGAATCAGGGCATGGTTCGGGTTGGAAGAGATCTTAAAGCTCATCCAAATGCCCCTGGGTGCTGGCCCAAGGGGGGGTCACAGCTTGATGGGGCAGGGTGGGGCTTAACCAGCCCCTCAAGGGGCCCAGGGACGCAGCCCTGTCCCCGTCTGCATCCCCAGCATCAGGAGCTGGCTTCCCTCAGTGGCCCTCCCCATCTCCACAGCGTGAGGATGGGGCTGAGCACAGGCCCCCACCCCGCCTGCCCCTGCCCTATTGGGCAAGAGGCAAAGGGTTTTATTTGGGTTTTGTTTATGGAGCATGAAATCAGCCCTGGAAAAGCAAAAAGGAGCCAACCTCTCCCCAGGGCAGGGTTACAGCAAGAGCAGCCCCCGAGCGGGGCCGGGGCATGGGCACGGAGAGGACTCGGAGCTGGAACATCCTTGTTTCCATGGACAAAAGCTTTGGATCGTGGCAAGAGCAGGTAAAGGGGCAGAGGTGCTGCTGCCCAGCAGGGGTGGGGGGGGGAGGGCCCAGTGGCAGCAGAGCCTCAGGAACCACACGCTTGGGCTTCATTAAAAAACCCCTTTATATTCATTTCATGTGGGTTGAAATCACGAGAAATCGGGGAGGAGGCAAAAAAACCCACCAACAACAAACCAACAAAACCAACCCAAACCCGAACAAAGTGAACCAAACCCAAGGGAACAGAACAGGACCCAAGCTTGGGGACGAACACAGACAAACCAGCAGAGCCCCGCCGGGCCGGGGCACAGCACAAGACCCAAGGACATCAGCTACTGCGGGGCGTGCAGTGACCCGAGCGGGGCCGGGCAGGGGAGGGTTCCCCCCTCGCAGCCCTTCAGCCTCCTCCTCCTCCTCAGCTCTCCTCCACGTCCTCCTCGTCCTCCCCTGTGGCTCGCTCGGCCTTGGCACCGTCCTGCACGCTGCTGGCCAGAGCAGAGGCCTCAGCCCGGGCACCCCTGCAGCCCCTCTCCCACATCCCAGGCTCATTCCCAAGGTGGGAAACCCCTGAGCATCCCTGTGCGGGCCCAGCCTGCCCGTGCTCCGGGTGCAGGGGTCCCCCTCATGCTCACTTGTTGTGGGGCTCCTCCGCGGCTGCCTCCAGCTCCCCAGCTCCTGGCCCTTGGCTTTTGTCCTTCTCCTCTGTGCCCTCTGCCTTCTGGGACAGGGATTCACCATTCACAGGCCCCGACAAGTCTGCAGGGAAGAGAGAGCCTCAGACCTCGTCCATCCCAAGGCCCCATGGCCACAGCTGTCCCCATCCAGGCACAGGACCCCCAGCCGAGCACGGGGGGACCCCAGCTCTGCCCTGACCCCGGCACCTACAAGAAGGGCCCCAAAGCCTCCATCCCCCCAGTCCGGGGGGGTTTCCCCAGCAGCTCCTCTGGGAATGCTGTTGCAGCATCCCCGGGCCAAGGGCGGCTCCGCTCCTGCAGCTCCCTGGGGTCCCCCCAAGGCTCTGAGCTGTGCCCTCTGCTCCCAGTGCCCTCCCACTCCAGCAACAAGGGCCTGGAGCCAACCCCTGCAGCACCCAGAGCCAGCCCTGCCCGCGGCCCCAAGCACATGGGAGATGCCCTGGGTGGGGGCCGCCCCGAGCCCTGCAGCAGCGTTACCGGCACTCGGCTCCTCGTCCCCCTTCTCAGTGCGGGGCTCCCCTCCTGCCAGCTTCTCCTGCCCCTTCTCCGCCTCCCCCTTGTCCTTGTCAGGCCCGGCTCTGTTGGCTTTCTGGATCGCCTCCATCTTTGGTCCGAGCACACGCGACTTCAAGCGGGTGTAGACCTCAGCAGCTTTCTCCATCACCTCCTTGTTTGCCTTGTAGCGACGGATCTGCAGCAGGAAGGAGGCGAAGGGGTGGCCCCAGGGCTGCGGTGGCCCAAGCAGGCTCCTGGCTCCCTGCAGAGAGGAGGAAGCCCCTGCCCTACCTTCTTCAGCGTGGCCACCACGTCAGTGTGCTTCTGGAGGATGTGAGAGGTGACCTGGAGCGTGCCCAGCTCCTCCAGTGCATTCAGACACCGCTTGATGTCCTGCAAGGGTGACACCAAGATCAGAAGGGGCCTGGAAGGCTTCCTGTGGGCACCTGGGGTAGCATCGACCCCTCCTGCCAGCCAGCAAGGGAAGAGGAGGAGCAGCCAGGCTGAGCACCCATAGGGATGGGAGCCAGGCTGAGCACCCATAGGGATGGGAGCCAGGCTGAGCACCCACAGGGATGGGACCAGGCTGAGGACCCGCAGGGATGGGAGCCAGGCTGAGGACCCGCAGGGATGGGAGCCAGGCTGAGCACCCATAGGGATGGGGGCAGGCTGAGCACCCACAGGGATGGGGGCCAGGCTGAGCACCCGCAGGGATGGGAGCCAGGCTGAGCACCCACAGGGATGGGAGCCAGGCTGAGGACCCGCAGGGATGGGAGCCAGGCTGAGCACCCATAGGGATGGGAGCCAGGCTGAGCACCCATAGGGATGGGAGCCAGGCTGAGCACCCATAGGGATGGGGACCAGGCTGAGCCCCCCCAGGGCCGGGCCCGCAGCAGGAACGCACCGGGTTATCCACCTTCAGCGCAAACTTGATCTCACTGTGAAGCTTCTGAAGTTTCTCTTCCACTGTGGGCTCTGGAGCAAGAAAGAGACCTCAGTGGCACGAGGCCACCAGGGCAGAGCACGGGACCTCTCCCCCAGCAAGGGCTTAGTTTCCTCCTCCATCTCCAAGGTCAAACTCAACCCCAGGGGCCTCTCCGAGGAGCAGGGCTTGGGGATGTTTGTAGGAAGCTCCCTGTTGCCTCTGCACCCCCTGCACTTCCCAACCCGAGGCCAGGGCCCCAGCACCACCACACTGATCCCTGCGGGAAAGACCCCTCCTCTTCCCTGGGATGGGGGAAACCAGCCCTGGATCCCTTCTGTCCCTCTGTGATGGTGAGCAACGGGGCCCTCACCCTTTTTCTTCTCCATCCTCCTTTCAGGGATCAGGTCGGATTTCTTCCGGCCTCGTTCCACTTTCAGGGGTCTGTGGAGGCAAAGCAAGAGGGAAGATTGCTCATGGAAGCCCCTGCTGGCTGCTGGGCTCACAGGGAGGGTGCTGGTGCTGCAGGTGCACACCCCAGAGCCCTGCCCTGATGCCACACACACATCCCAGCACCCAGGCAGCAGAGCCCGGAGGCAGCAGCTCCCCCATGGCCCAGCAGCAAGGCCAAGCCCCAGTGATGCCCCTCTGGGAGATGGAAACCAGGAGGGAAGCTCCTCAGCCTGGGCCCCCAACACCTCCTCCAGCCCCTCCAGCTCTAGGAGGCAGCAGGGAAGGGACCTGGCCCCTCCGTGGGTGCTCCATGGGAGCCCCATCCGCACCCCAGGGATGGGCTGGGCAGCAGCAGAGCGCCAGCGCAGGCCCCAAGGACAGAGCTGCAGGAGGAGGTGCTGACTTGTTCCGTGGCTTCTCCTCCGCTCGGCCCCTCTTCTCCTTCTGATTTGGTTTCCTTGACAACTCCGAGGGCTGCTTCTTCGCTGGCTTCTTTACCTTGGAGGAGAGAACAATGCAGGCGCGAGGCTGAGCCCTCCCTGCTGCAGTGGGAGCGATGCCACAGCCATGGCCAGCAATGGCAGCGGCCACCCCACTGCTGCCGCTCTGGGTGCAGGGCAGAGAGGGCCCAGCCTGCAGCACACTGAGTGCTGCTCCGAAAGGGAATGTCCTGGTACCTGGAGCTGCCCTCCCCCGGCCAGCAGCACCCGAATGGCTCACCCATGGCTGCTTCCCCACAGCAGCAACTTTGTGCTGCTTCCCCAGCCCCCTCCATGGGGAGGAACTGGACCTCACCTCTGCCCATGGGCAGTGTGGCTCCCGAGAGCCATCCACAGCCCTTCCTGTGCTTCCCATCCAGCTGATGCCCTCCCAGCCCCTGGGGAGGACAGCAGAGAGAATACAATGAGGTGGGAGGGAGAGCATCGTGGAGCTGCAGCACCCAGAGCTGGATGGGTACCCTGGGCCAGGGGAAGAGCTCCCATGTGCAAGGCGTGGATGTCCCGATGGACACAACCCTTCCCAGGGCTGCATGGGCAGCCCCAGTGTAACGCAAGGTCCCTGCTGGGTCGCTGATGGGCTGCCTGCTTGTCCCCACTCTGCACTCACCTCTTTCTCCAGCTCCAGCTCCGAGTCCGAGGAGGACGGGGCCTTGGCCCGGCCTTTCCGGCTCTTTTTGGCCACTTCATCCTCTGCGCTGCTCTCCGAGTCCGAGTGCACCTCCTCGCTCTTCTCTGCCTTCTCCTTCCTCTTCTCTTTCTCCTCCTTCTCCTGCTCCCGGAGCCGACGGATCTCTTCCTCCTGCTCCCTCTTCCTCTTCTCCTCCAGCTCCCGCCGCCGCTCCTCATCCCTCCTCTTCCACTCGCTGATGCGGTCCACGTCGCTGTCGCTGTCACTGCAGGGGATGGAGCTCGCTTGGACCCCTTGTGCAAAGGGGACGGGCTGAGGCTACAGCCCAGCCCTGAGGGTGCTGGGTCCCCGCTGCTCTCACCTCTCACTGCTGGAGCTGGTCGGGACACGCTCAGGCTTCGGCTTCCTGCCACGGGGCTTGGGAGGGGGTTTCTCAGCTGCAAGACAACGGGGAGGGAGATGCTCAGCAGGAGCCCTGGGTGTCCCTCTGTTAATAACAAACAGCCCCAGATTGGGGGGCAGAGGCCTGTTGGGATGGGCTGGGAGGTGGCTGCAGCAGAAGGAGCC